CAGGGCGAGCTGCAGGGAGCCGATCTCCCCGTGGCAGCCCAAAGCAAGCCCAGGAGACACTGTCCTCTCCGCTGCTGTCCCGGGGGCTGTGGGGCTCTCTCTGCCCAGCGGCGTGCACCTTCTGCGATGGCTGTGGGGGATTCGTCACCTCTGATGCTGGGGGTTGGGTACCACCACGCTTGGTACGGTGCAAAGGCCTCACGCGGACCAAGCGGAAACTCGGACGCAGCGGGGAAGGCCAGGATGGAGGGATGGCACCTTGCCCCCGGGTCAGGCGTTCTCCTGACCCGAGGCCTCTGGGCAACACCAGCATGGGTTGCTGGTGGCTGGGCTGGCCGGGGCTTCTCTCCGTGGCACGGACAGGGCGCTGCAGAACGCAGCGTGAATCCAGAGACCTGCACAGGGCTGGCACTGAGACGTCCTCGCTCCGCTCCCGGGGAGACTCGGGCGGTGCGTCCCAGCAGGAGATGTCTTCCCTTTCTCAGCTGGCTTCTGGGCTCCCACCTGCCCCCAGATCTTGGGCTTCACCAGCCTGATAGTACTGCTGGGAGCAGAGAACTGCGAGGGCTGTGTGCTCTGGGGCCGGCAACGGAAACGAGCTCCGGTGTCCTCTGGCAGTGGGTGATTCTGCATTGGCGGTGTCAGGAAAAGTGCTGTTTGCTTTCTTCCTTTTGTTATATATTGTACCTGGAGCCCCCAGCCTCCGAAACGCCAAGCAGGTCCGTTAGCATTGTCGTATTTTCCACTTGGGGAGGGCGGCGCTGGAATGAACTGGATGAATGTGACACGCATGGGGCTCGACGGGAGCTGCTCTTCAGGAGCCTGCGGAGCACCGACGCGAGCAAACCAACCAACAAACCAATCCACCTGCAGCAGGCAAACCCAAACCCTTTGAACCAGCAGCTCCGTCCAAACCAGCTGAGCAACTGCCACGCAGGTTTTCACAGCCACAAGTCCTGCTGGGCCTATGGCTGGCTCCTCCGTGGCTACCGATGCTCCTGCAGTCACCCAAGGGTCTGGGGACGCTGAGGGGATGCTGCCCGCGGACAGCAGTGGGCAGGGGTTCTGTGCTCAGGGCTGTAGAGCGTGCTCCAGGGGCTGGTGGACCTTTCCTGGGTCAGTGGGACCTCCCAGGCATCACTGGTCGTGTCTGTCTGGAGCTCCAGGGGCTGGTGGACCTTTCCTGGCTCTGTGGGACCTCCCAGGCATCGCTGGTCATGTGCATCTGGAGTTCCAGGGGCTGGTGGACCTTTCCTGGGTCTGTGGGACCTCCCAGGCATCGCTGATCGTGTCCGTCTGGAGCTCCAGGGGCTGGTGGACCTTTCCTGGGTTGGTGGGACCTCCTGGGCATCATTGATCGTGTCCGTCTGGAGCGGTCCCAGGGCAGGACGGTGCACCTGGGACTCATGGACGGTGCCTGGACATCGGAATCCCTGGGAGGCTCTCCGCAGCCTTCTGCTCTGCAGGCCGTTGGCAGACGTGTTTTTCCTCCTGCTCCTTTATTTTCTCCTCTTCCGTATTTGTGTTGTTCATTTCTTTAGGGCAGCTTTGTGATTTCTTTTTGTCTTGCTTTGTTGCTGGCTCACTTTTCCCCCCTCAATCTTCCCTGCGGCATCAGCAGCTTTGCATGTCGGGCCTCGCGGGTGGCGTCGGGGTCAGGGCTGCTGCTGGGTGAGCTGAGCGCCGTGGCTCAGCCCCGTCCCGCATCCTCATGCCCCGCAGTCCCACCCGACCCCGCGCACCCCGGCCATGCTGCCGGCCTGCCGTGACCCGGCTTTGCCACCTTTCTGTTGCAGGATTGAGCTGACCTCTGACCTCACATCTCTGTAGCAAGCACCGTAGGTCCTCGGCCACAAACATTCTTGCAAATGGTTTTGGTAAGGACACGCTGTTTCTCAGAAGTCGTGGTACCACTGGTAACATCTGCTAACGTGGGGTTGTTGCTGCTGGGTCTCGTTTTCTGGGGGAGGGCTGGTTTCTGAGCTGCAGTTGACTGCCTGTCCCACCTCCCTCCCCACCTCCCTCCCCCTTCCCTCCTCGTAACAGATCGATGAGTCCGCTTCCCTCTCTCTCCACCTCATTTTCCATGAGGGCAACGGGGGCTCTGGCATTTGGGGCTCACCTCTTCCATCCGGGATGCCTGAGGTTGGACATCCCACCACCACTTCTGTTTCCTGACGTGGAAAATGAGGGCTGCTGAGCAAGAGAGGGGTTTGTCTTAAGGCATGTGCCAAAGCTGGGGCTTTGCTTAGCCTTTGCTTTTAGCCCTGTCAGCCCTCCAGTTTCCACAGAATCACAGAATCCCAGCATGGCAGGGTTGGCAGGGCCCTCTGTGGGTCCCCCAGCCCAGCCCCCTGCCCAAGCAGGGTCACCCAGAGCAGGCTGCACAGCACCGCGGCCAGGCGGGGCTGGAATATCTCCAGAGAAGGAGACTCCACAGCCTCCCTGGGCAGCCTGGGCCAGGGCTCCGGCACCCTCAGGGTGAGCCAGCTCTTCCCGTAGACCACCAGGTTCCTGTATGAAGCAGCATCCCCAGAAATGCCAGCAGGTCCCCCAGGCCCCCTCCAGGCTCCTTGTTGCGGTGGTCAGTAGTCCACGAGTCTTCATTTGGGGACCCTTGATTTTGGAGGTGCCATTGGAAAGAACAACTTGCCTTCTCCAGGAAGGGCTGCAGGTCTTCTGCCAGGAGCGGACAGGCACGCAGTCGATTGGGTTGTTTCACCAGAAACCCACTTCTGCTTTGACCTGCATCACTCCAGAGCCGGCGGTTCTCTTTGTAGTACTCACTGGAGTCTTGCGGCTTCAAACTGGTGCTAAATCTGGACTAAAAGGGGAAGGAATGTGACCTTTACTGAGTGATGCAACTTCCTGCTCCTGGCTACTTCAGTCTTTAGAAACAGAGGGACTGCTCAGCGAGGGAGGAGGCCAGTAAATCCAGCTGGGAAATACGTCTGCTCGGGTGGTGGCTGTGCCTGGTCGCGGCTGGTGGGTCACCAGCACTTCCAGAACAGAAGCACGTGGTGTTTGCTCCCCGGGGGAGAAAAATAGTCTGGGCAGGAAGGGGGAGAGTGCAGGGGGAGGACGCAGCCCTCGGCCAAGCCAGGTCGGCACGCGTAGGTGCTTGTGTCCTGGCTGGGAGGAAGAGGAAGGGCTCCCCAGTGTGCCTTCAGGGCTCACATGGATGGGTTGAAGTGGTCTCTGCCGCTGCCTTTCAGACTTCCCGTGAGGTTGGAAGAGGCCAGTGGGAGTTTTCTGGCGTTAGAAAGGAGCGTGATCAGGGCTGCGTTGAGCGTTGACAGCTGCAGCAAGGCAAAACAATCAAGAGAACAACCCCCTCGGGTCTCTGCCTCCAGTTCTCCCTTTCCGTGAGGCAGAGCAGGTCCTGACCAAGTCTGGGTCGGCCTCGGTGGTGCCACAGGGTTGAGCTGTCTCTGCTCTGTCCTTGCCCCTCTTCGCTGAGTGTGTTGGCTGGGGAAAGGAGAGCAGATCCCACGTGATGGTCTGTGGAAAGGCCTCTCCTCTCTGTCACCTCTCTTGTTTCTGGGGTTTAGGAAGAGGTGGGGGTGGAGAGCCAGAAGCTGTCCCATGTGGGGCACCCGTGCAGACCCCTTACGCAGGGTCTGAGTGAATGGCCCCGGCCGGCTCAGACGCTCTCTGCTGTTTGCTGGTGCGCTCTTGGATGGAGCCGGCGATCGCCCTGACCACAGGCCAGCCTCTGTAGGGCTGAGAAGGTAGAGATGACTTCCCAGGTGATCCCCCCCGACCATGGGCCAGCCTCTGTAAGGCTGAGAAGGTAGAGATGACTTCCCAGGTGATCCCCCCGACCACGGGCCAGCCTCTGTAAGGCTGAGAAGGTAGGGGTGAATTCCCAGTTTCCTGGGCTAATGGGCCCGGTTCCTGCAGCCAGGTGACCCGTTCTAGAAGCAAACTGTCCTCCTTCCCCACAGTCCTCTCCTCTCATCCTGGCCAGCCATGGGTGGGTTGAGGAGACGCTGCTTGAATCCGGGCTAGGCTTAACCCTAGGGCTCAACCGCAAGCTGGAATTCATGCGAGGGGAACTGGACGGCTGCACGTCTCGCACTCAGTCCTTTTCTTGGTGGTGATTTAGCAATGGAGATCTGCCTCCTCCCCGGCTGGGTTCAGAGCTCCTCTTGGTTACGAGGCACAGAAGAAAACTGGGCTTGGACCCTGGACTTTCAGCAAGGCAGGCTGCCCTGGACAGATCCCGGCTCTGGGAGTGACAGAGAGGAGAGGCCTCTCCCTGCTCTGCCTGGCATTCCGGGTCAAAGCGGGGATGTGGCTGTGGCTGGAGGGAGAACCGTGCTGAGGTTTGGTTTTGAAGAAGACAACGCTTGCGATGAAGCACACAGGGCAGGAGGCAGCTGCCAGGGTCTAATGACCATCTGGACAGACCTTGACCTGTTTTGAGCATCCCCACCACTGGCCCTCCAAAATGAAGTGGGTGGACTGGGCTGGGGGAGGTTGCGTTTTGGGAGAGATTTCTGTCACCGTCTGTCCCTGCCCACCCCCTGCATCGCCATCACGCAGCCCTGGCTCGCTCGCTTGCTCCCCGCTCCATAGCATGGGACCTGGGCCTCCTCCTCCTCCCTTCCCTTCTGCTGACCCTCACCCCACCCCGGCAGCGTCGCTGTCCTGTCCTCTCCAGCATGGGGCTGCTTTTGGATGAGGGACGCTGGTAAGCTTATGCCTTCTTTGGGGTTTTATTATTGATTTGCTTTTCATCTTCTGCAGCACGATAGTCATCCTGGGCTGGGGGGAGAGGAGCAGCAGCAAGGGACCAGGCAGCCGGGGGCGGTGGGACGCTTCGGGTCGGGCTGGCCATGGCTTCACCG